AAAGAGTGAGTTTGGTATTTGGTTTGGAGATATTATTTTTGGAGCGGGTGGTCATGGGTGTGTGTTACGAATATGGACGGGCGGTGGCGATGGGTCCGTTGGTATTCGTGTAGGTAATGTGTTGGGCAAGGTAGAGGAGGAAGATGGCAATGGGGATGGCTCGGGTGATGTATGCGAAGGTGACGTGTTTGGTAAGGCAGAGGGTGATGTGTTTGGTGATAAGGATGGATGACAGCTTAGTATGGTGTCTCGGACAGGCGACGGAGCCAACCTCGGGGGCCACATGGGCAACGGCGGAGTGAGTGGTGACCGACATGGAACACTAGAGGAAAGAGATGACGATGGAAAAGAGGTATCCTCGGATATGGAATGAGAAGCCGAGTGAAGTCGAGGATAAGGAAAATCATTCTCGACAAATTCCACATGACGAGAGACGTAAAGTCGTGAAGTGGGAACATGAAGACAAAGATAAGCACTCTGAGTGAGTGAGTATCCAACAAAGACACAAGACGCAGAAGAGACTCAAGCTTGTGAGGAGAATAGGGAGGAAGCCAAGGAAAGCAAAGACATCCGAACACCCGAAGTCTCGAATAGTTCGGTGTAGAGTCAAAGAGCTTTTCAAAGGGTGAACTTTCGTTACGAACAGACGTTGGAAGACGGTTGATCAAGTAGACAGCAGTCAAGAAAGCAAATATCCATAATTCCAAAGGAAGAGATGCCCGAGTGAGAAGAGTTAAGCCTGTAACGACCCGAGGTCGCTACGAAATATAAAAGATGTCCTCACACAGCAACACGAGACCTTTTAGCGTGTTTTGTCCTCTCTCCACACATCTCGGAAAGTACTTCCTAGGAGGTCACCCATCCTAAGACTACTCAAAGGCCAAAACGCTTAATTTTGGAGTTCTCTCGAGATGGGCAACCGAAAAGATAGATGCATCTTGTTGCTATGAGTAGCTCAATTAATTCCTTTAAGTTATCTTAGACTACTAGTCCCATACCTACACAGCCCTCAGATCCCTCTCATTCCGGTGCGTTCGATTCATCCCTCCTACCGAGAAGCTCGTCAGGAGCCGCTCATTGTTCGTGCCTCTTGCACCGGTGATCACTCCCCGCCCTCCTACGGTATCCTGGACTGTCACAGGCCCACCAGCTTCCGCCTGGTTCATCCTCGAACCACACCATACTGGGAGAGAACCGGCTCTGATACCATTTGTAATGACCCGAGGTTGCTACGGAATATCAAAGTTGTCCTCACACAGCAACACGAGACCTTTTAGCGTGTTTTGTCCCCACTCGCATACATCTCGGAAAGTACTTCCCAGGAGGTCACCCATCCTAAGAATACTCCAAGGCCAACACGCTTAACTTTGGAGTTCTCTCGAGATGGGCAACCGAAAAGGTAGATGCATCTTGTTGCTATGAGTAGATCAATTAATTCCTTTAAGTTATCTTAGACTGTGTAGTCCCATACCTACACAGCCCTCGGATCCCTCTCATTCCGGTGCGTTCGATTCATCCCTGATCCCCTACCGAAAAGCTCGTCAGGAGCCGCTCATTGTCCGTGATCACTCCCCGCCCTCCTACGGTACCCTGGGCTGTCACAGACCCACCAGCTTCCGCCTGGTTCGTCCTCGAACCACACCATACTGGGAGAGAACCGGCTCTGATACCATTTGTAATGACCCGAGGTCGCTACGGAATATCAAAGCTGTCCTCACACAGCAATACGAGACCTTTTAGCGTGTTTTGTCCCACTCGCACACATCTTGGAAAGTACTTCTTAGGAGGTCACACATCCTAAGACTACTCCGAGGCCATCACGCTTAACTTTGGAGTTCTCTCGAGATGGGCAACCGAAAAGGTAGATGTATCTTGTTGCTATGAGTAGATCAATTAATTCCTTTAAGTTAACTTAGACTGTATAGTCTCATATCTACACAGCCCTTAGATCCCTCTCATTCCGGTGCGTTCGATTCATCCCTGTACCCCCTACCGAGAAGCTCATCAGGAGCCGTTCATTGTCCGTGCCTCTTGCACCGGCGATCACTCTCCGCCCTCCTACAGTATCCTAGGCTGTCACAAAGCACGTCTCGGCAATGTGTCGATATTTTCGTTCTGAAACACTATTGTATTCTAGAGTATGGGGCGGAGAGGTGAAGGGGAAATACCATGAGAGGAGAGGAAGTCTTTGAGAGCAACGTATTCCCCACTGTTATCCGAAAAGAGAGTGACAATTTTTGTTTGAAAACGATACTCAACAAGGGCTTTAAAACGGGAAAAAATGGAAGACACTTGAGCATCGATGGAGGGTAGAAGCCGACAAGTGCGGGCACTATGCCCCTGTGTACTACAGAGTTGTCACTTACAAAGGTACGGACGTGGCGAAGGTCGTGAGTGCTGGCCACGAGAATGAGAGAATGTGGGCCGAGAGTTGAATGCCAAGTACCGACTACCATGAGGGCGCCCAAGGGGGACGAGCAACATATTGGGCAGTATGAGCCGAGATTGGCAAATCCGATAGACTTGAGGCAGCTATGTCAGCATCGTGACTCAAAAGCTTCTCACGGAGCTCGATAAAAGAGATGGTCGTGCCACGATCATTCACCGCATCCTTGACCCATTTGTATTCATCACCAAGGTCGCCAAGTATCAAATCCACAAGATCTTCATGGTCCAGGGGTTTCCCGAGAAGGATTAGATCATCGGATTTGACCTTGAAGAAGTTCATGTGTATTGATCGATGGTTTTCGATCCTTTCGTATAGCGACACATTTGTTCCTTCAATTATTTGACATGCCCGCGACTGGAACGTCCGTAGGTTTGGGCAAGAGTCGTCCATGCAGTAGCTGCCGAAGAAGTTGTGGCGACAAGTGTTTGACAAGGGCCCGAGATCGAGCCAAGAAGGGCTGAAAAGACGAGAGATCTTGCCAGAACCATGGAGCGTAGGTAGGGTTCAGAGAGACCGTGTTGTTGACAATGAGCGTTGTCGGTGGAACTTTGTCCAGGTCGAGGAAGTCACTAAGGTTGTATCCTTGGAGAAGTGCTTGAATTTGGATACTCCACGTTAGGTAATTCGAGGCGGTGAGCTTGCTCACATTTGAAATATTGACGTTAATCAACGTCGAGGCGGGAGAATCGGTATCAGAGGGAGTGACATTGTCACTCGGAAGGCCGCCGGAGTTGGAGGTGGTGTCGATGTTCGACATAGCTATCGAAGGAGGTGGTCGGCGGCTGGGATTAGAGAATTAGGGTTACAAGGTAAAAAAAAGTCTTTTGACGATTCCGAGTTCTGATACCATATAAAGTTTTGGAATTGGTAAATTAATGTTATATTAACCAAATGAACTACATGTAGCTATATACAACTTTGCGAAGAGAAAGATTAGGAAGTTTACATAACAACAAACAATTTAAAAAAGATTCTCCCATGATTTATGTATATCACTAACATATTATTATTGGTATACAATAGTGTAGTACACTCGTGGATCAAATTATTTCGCTTCCACGTTATGAATCCGTCAAATGATATTTTTTTAATGTTTTTTCACGTCAACTTTCATCGTCAGCGAGAAGAACAAGCAAATCAAATTAGGGTTTTTTTTTTTAAAGATTTGGTATTTTACGCTAGCAATCGTTGGTCAACCATAAGGCGGTGAATTCATTTGATAATAGTATCCGTTTGTGCAAGATAAAAGAGATTCTGAAGAATATCTTAGAATATTATCATAATATTTAAATTTGATTTTATTTCTATATTTTAGATATTTATATTCATTAAATAAGATATTTCTATACCTACAAACATAAAAGAAAAACTAAGACAAGTTAGTGAAGGGCTCATTTGTGGTACGAATCACGACCATTTTGTTCCTTTGTTCCGGAATGCTTTTCAACCTCCTTAAGGATCGTTTCTTAAGGGAAAATTTGGTTATACAATCTTGAATTCATCTCCTTACAAATTAGGGTTTTTCTTTTTGTAAAATTATAATTTTATGTGATAGGACATCACTACGAGGGAGTCTGTGCCCAGCACGTGTCACACTAGACAAAATGCTCCGCCTTTTGAGCTTCACTATCATATGCAATGATTCAGAACTTATACGAAATAAATGCGAACACACTTATGATCACTGTCTCCATTTTCATCTCTCCCCACTTCATAACACGACATTCCCGAGTTTTTTTATATATTCTTGTATATTTTTTTTCTCATTCTTAATCATTATTTGATTGGTCCATTTTTAGGATAAGCTCCTTTGTTTTCTTTACCACTAACGCCAACATTTTCATGTGTTTGATGATGATCTAAACCAATATCGATGTCCGTTTTGAAATAGCTCCCCACAACCACAAGATGTCATTACATAAAATAGTTATCTCGTGTCGGCTGTTCTTGCTCTGTTCGAGATGGTATTTTTTTAATAATTAGGAGGTTTATTAGGCATTTGATCCAACTAATTTTTCTAGGTCTAATTAATCGCATTATCGTCCCGCCTGTGAAGTCGAGTATGAGATCTTTACGGCAAATGACACCCAACCATTTGTATAATTAGAGGTGCAACCGCTATAGCCTATATCACC